TCGGCGCCATCAACCAGGGCCCAGTACAGACTTGGACGAGTTGATTGGTGTGGGGAGCCATCCTCCAGACTGTGAGCCGTCCATGGTGTTGCATCTCGCATCGCCCAAGAGGCTCTAGAGGTGATTGGGAAAGCGCTGCAGATCCAGGGATCGCAAGAATCGCCCCTCTTTGCCTTGCCAGTATGGGCTGGAATGGCCTTCCCATCCCGGCGCCTGGGGATTTGCAAACCCCTGGTCTTGCCATCTCTGTCGTGCTTTTCCTTCCTCCTCCGCCTTCGAAGCGACGCAAGCAGACGAGCGATGAGAAGGTGATGCATCGGCTTGTCGAGGACCTGTGGCAGACCAACCAAGCTCTCCACGTCCCTGTCAAAGCTCGTGACAGTGAGACACTGCTAACCGCATTCCCACCAGCATCTGAGACCTACCAGACTGGTTGGTTCTGTCTCTCTCTCTCTCTCGGTTTGCCCCCAGAAACAAAGCTTTTCAGGGGACCTTGTGCAAAGGTAGTAGAGCAGAGACCGTGACGCGCGAAAGAAGGCTGAGCGCCGGGGTGAACCTTAAATCCTGGGGAGACTGGCGGAGTGGATAGCAGCCGTACGTTCGACAGGCGTAGGACTACAGTTTGGTCCATCGTCTGGACCTCCGTGAGGAGCCAAGGGGGATGCTTAGAATACAGACAGAGAGAGACCTTCCGTTGGCTGTCATTTCGTCCATTCAGTTCCTGCCTAGTACCATCTCGTTGGCTTACTTGCTGTGGCACTAACAGGGCAGGCAGGCATTTTGCTGCTCTTGCCCCGCAAGCTGACATCTTATCGGACAGAATGCCCCGCATCCACAAGCCCCTCCATCTGTAGCAACAGCAGGCAGTGACGATGATGATGCGAGGAGTCAACATTGACATCATCCGCCCATGAGCATTACGTGAAGCCTCAGCCAGCCATTGCTGTCAACACTGTAGACGTTACCAAAGAAGAAGCCAATCATCGTTTTCCTTGGGCAGTAGTTTCGGCCTTCCCATCATTCATTGCGTACGAGCAAATCGCAGTCAACCGCCCGCCATGTGCCAGGATTACGATCATGGCGATAGCTCAGAGGCGGCCACCGCGGCCCCGGGCCACGATGCAGCACCTTTCCCGTGGCAAGTTGGTGTCTACGATGCTCATTGTCATCCCACAGATATAATGGCTTCTCTCGAGCGCATACAGCACATGCAAGCTGCTGCACTGACCGTCATGGCTACGCGTTCGCAGGACCAAGCCCTCCTTGTCGATCTCGCCGCATCGCCGTTGGCCATTCGCGACCCGGAGAGCCTCGGCAGTGTCCTAGGGGCCAGAAGCCCCAGGAACACCGGTCGAGTGATCCCCTCCTTCGGCTGGCACCCCTGGTTCTCCCACCAGCTTTATGATGACTCGGTCCCTGAGGGTGAGCGAACCTACAATCCCGGCGGCAGCAGCTCCGAAACGGACCTCCGGGAGGCAAAGCACGAACACTATGCCGCCGTCCTCTCTCCGTCACCTGCGCCTACGGATACGGCTTTCCTCGACTCGCTGCCCACGCCGACACCGCTGTCTGCCTACATCGCCACAACTGAGGCCCGGTTGAAGGACAACCCCCTCGCCCTGGTGGGTGAGATCGGCCTCGACAAGGCCTTCCGCCTGCCGCAGGCTTTTGACGACGAGACGCGCGCCGCACGAGACTCGGCACTGACGCCGGGCGGACGTGAGGGTCGCATGCTCAGCCCCCAGCACGTGAGGATGAACCACCAAACAGTTGTCTTGAAGGCGCAGCTCGCCCTCGCAGGGTCTCTGGGGAGGGCCGTCAGTGTACATGGGGTGCAGGCGCACGGGGTGCTGCATGACACGTTGGCGGCGAGCTGGAAGGGGCATGAGAAGGAGGTGCTGAGTCGGCGGCAGAAGCGGAGGATTGCTGAGGGCGCTGAAGACTTCTCTTCGTCTTCTGACGAGGACGAGGACGGGGACGAGGACGAGGACGAAGGAAGCAGCGATGTGAAGGAGACGAAGAAGAAGAAAAAGAAGAAGAACGGAGATGCCGGTGGAAAGCCGTTCCCGCCGAGGATATGCTTGCACTCGTTCTCAGGGCCAGCGCAGGTGATGCGACAGTACCTGCACGCAGCGATCCCGGCGCGCATCTTCTTTTCATTCTCGTGGGCTGTCAATCTGGGGACGGGGGACTTAGATAAACTGTGTGAGGTTGTCAAGCTCTGCCCCGATGACCAAATACTTGTGGAGAGCGACTTGCACATGGCAGGCGATGAGATGGACGATATGCTCCAGGCCATGTACCGCAAGGTGTGTGAGATCAAGGGGTGGGATTTGGAGGAAGGGGTGAAGCGGATAGGGGAAAACTACAAGGAGTTCATCATTGGCTAACTTCATCCCATCCATATCGCGTAGCGGAGGGAGGAGTTGTTGAAGAGCTCAGCGTGCAGCGTCGCATTCGGGGTTGAAGCGTGGTACTCAAGTAGCCCATTACACAGGTGTGTGTTCGTCAACAGCAGCAAATCTCAATGATGGGCGGCATAGCAGAAACATGCCAACCTGGTGCTGTCACGCAAGCGGCTAAAAGTCTCGTTCCGTGCTCCATGACCAGCTGATCTAGGTAGGGAGCTTATGCGCCGTCATCGACGCCTCGAGTCATGCTGATGGTCAAGTGTTTTGGATGTTAATGTGGCTGTTGCTCTCAGTGCACGGCCACTACTTGACTTGGCGACGGGAGAAAAGTCCTGTGGGGTTGATTGGGTTGATGCTGCCTTCCAGCTACAGTCACTTGGAGGAAAAGAAGGAACGATTGACTTGTTCAGAAGAAAGTCCACGGTCAAAACACCACCAACAGCCAGCACCATCAACATCTTGAGTCCATCAGTCAGCGTCTAGATGGCGACGAAAAATCCCACCCAGGTCACCATGACGAGGGGGCCAGGGACCAAAATCCCCTTCACAGCCACTGTGGACGGCTGCTAACAGCGTATGGCTCCAGCCTAGTAGATCGCGCGCTTCTTCCGACAAGTACCGGCCCTGGTTTTCGGCATCCTCTCTTCAGTTTAGGTCGGGTCCAGCTCCATCCAGCTTGCAGCTCGCAGCTCAATCGAGCCTCCCAGGTTTAGTCCCCCAGTCCCATCCCAAATGCAGCACATTTTCGTCACTGGTCTCCATTTCAATCTCTATCGGCAGTGCCCCTCTCAGGCTGTTCCTCCTCCTTTTTACCCATTATTCCCACATACTTTCCTGCATCTGCCACAATCGCCAGTTTATTCCCAGGGCGAGCTTCCCCAGCCAGCCAGCCAAGCCGGCACCCACAGTGCACGAGCCCACGACGAGCATCTCGTGTTTATTCCCGGCGGCCTCAACCAGCTTGTCATACTCATTCGGACCGCTCAGCCCTACGACAATCCTGCACGGCGGCCCAGCAAAAGCACGGCGTGGCATCCCGGTCAGCGATTTCGGCGGACAGGAGGCCGACCATTGGAGGGGCCGCAAGCCGATCATCACGAAGCGCGGCGACCACGAGCCGCCGGATGTCGTGGTCAAAGTTTGCAGAACCACACGCCAATGGCATCGTCACTCACGAACGGTCAGCCGCAACAGCAGCAGCAGCTGGCTGCTGTGAACGTCTACCCATCACCAGCCTCGACTTTTGGCGGACGGCCACAGGCGTCGCCACACGAGCAGCAGCAGCAGCAGCACCGCGCGACTGAGCTGAAGCGCGAGCAAGAGGCCGTTCCTGCATATGGCCATGAGTCCCTCGTCGCCAGCCCGGAGGACCAGGCGAGCCCTGACGGACCGGCGAAAAAGAAGCAGAAGCGTAACAAGCCAACGCTGAGCTGTCGCGAATGCGTTGACAGAAAGACAAAGGTACGACTTGGTTTGCCGATCTACGTCCGATGAAGTGAGCGCGGCTTGAGTTGTGGTGAGCTCGCCATGTGCGCTCTGTTGACTCATTGCCGTCTCATTCCAAATTTGGCCCAATTCACGTCGCGCGCACCGAGACTGACCGTCGCAGTGCGATAGAGGCCGGCCCCATTGCCTGGCCTGCATCAAACGACAGACCGAGTGCAAATATGATGCTGTTGCGGATCTCCTCGAGTAAGATGCTCAGCAGGTTCGACGGCATTCTACTGGCCATACTGACCGAGCACAGAGAAACAACGCGCACTGCCGCCAATGGGCGCCGCATGACGAAGCCTCCTAAAAAACGAAGTTCGGACGGAAGCCCTTCTGTCATTCCGAATGTCGCCGATCGCGGCGCCATTGATGGTCGCAGTTTTGCCTCCCGCGGCCTCACCAACTCGAGCACGCTCCTCTCCAATGTGCCCTACTCCCTACCGACGGCGAGCAATGTTTTTGGCATCGGGTCTGAGCACCCTTTTGCCAACTACTGGACGTTCGAGGGCGGTTTGCCAGAGGTCATTGGTGTGCTGCCAGACAAATTTCAAGCAGATATTCTGCTGACCAAATATTTTGACGTTGTCGATCCCGTCTATCCCATGATCCACCGTCAGACCTTCTACGCAGACTATGAGCACTTCTGGAGCCTGCCCTTAGAAGAGCGAAACCAGTCAGACCCTGCCTTCATCGGCCTCATCTTCACCATGCTCGCTCTCGGCACACAATTTGTGGAGTCACCCAACACAAGCAAAGAGGCTGCTAAACAAACGGCCGAGTTCTACGCCTCTGCCAGCAATCAGGCGCTGCGCATCTTCTCCTACCTCAGCACTGCATCTATGCGGTCTGTCCAGGCCATGGTCCTCGTCACATATTTCCTCATTAATGATAATCATGCGTCCGACGGATGGGCGTTCTCGGGCATCCTGGTGCGCCAGGCGTATGCCATGGGTCTTCATCGCGATCCCAATATAGTCACCCCTCATGCCTCTCTGTTTGAGAAACAACAGCGTCGTAAGCTGTGGCAGGCTGTCCTACTTCAGGATACTTTTCTCACTGTTCTTCTGTCCTTACCTCCTTCGGCGACTCACACCGACGTCTCCGTCGAGGATCTTTCCGACGACGGCTCCGCCATCGCCAACAGTGATCCCACCGACATTGCCTACATTCGCGGCTCGTGGACGTTGGCAAACCTCGTCCAGGAAACAATATGCTCGCCACGCTCCCTCGACCTCCCCATCTGTGCTACAGCCCGCCACAAGTCTAAGCTCATCGCCGACTTTCGTGCCGTGTACCGCTCTTTTCCCGACGTGTTCCGAAGCTGGGACGGCGAGTCGCTCTCAGCCCTTGCACGCACGAACCGTCGTGTGGTGCGTCAGACCCTCTTCTTGACGAGCAACTACCATCACAACCTGATGCTCGTTCATGCGTCGGAAAGCGCCGACGTGCCGGCGAACGTGCGCGGGACGCTCGAGGCAGCGCACGACGCTATCGGCAGCTTTTTCCTCCTGTTCTCACTGTTCGAGCTCGAGGCAAGGGTGTGGTGGGTTTTTAATCACAGGGCGTTCTTGGAGGCGCTGTGCATCGGAAGCGTCATTCGAGAGGCGGCGAAACAGCCGGGCGGTACGGAGCTCGTGGTGCGAGACCCGCTGTTTGTGAGGGCGAGAGCAGATATCCGTGAGTGCCCTTCGCCTGGATGCATCTGATGGTCAAACTAACAAGTGCGAGGGCGGATGATAGAAATCATGAGGATTATGGGCGATGGCGAGCAGGGGTCCGATGTCGCAAGGACGAGGGTGGTCGTGTTGGAGGAGTTCTTGTAACTGGCATGAGCTGACTTGGCATGGGGGCTGCGGTCTAAGAGAAGTCGAGTCGACGTCGTTCCTATCATGGCTTTTTCGGTAGAGAATAAAGCAGCACGGGAGATTTGAGCATGTACAAACGTCTGCATCCGATTTGACAAGACTGTGTGACGGGCAGTGCTTTCCACATATGTCCCGCAGCCAGTAAGCTCAAGACATTGAATCCATCTATCCCATCCAAGACATGATTCTTCTGAGAAGAAGTCTGCGGTGCTTCTCAAGATAAGTCCTGGTTTACTTGTTTGTTGCAGCTTGGTGACGGAGCAGCAGCATTTCTGTCGCACTACTGGATCTTTGAGTGGCCCTATGGACAGTTCAGTGAGCCTTCGTCACCAGTCGACTAGAGAGTTCAAATTATTGTTCTGGGACACATGCCAGCATGGCCTGGAGGACGAATGCACCGTCCTTGAGACGGCTAGATAAGGCTTGCTGATACAGTCCGTGCTCTTCAACCATAGCTGACCAGTTCTCACATTATTCAGAAGGCTGGTTGAAGACAGAATAACTGAAACATTTGGCATTCACCTGCCAACACTGATCGTCATCCGTTATATTCATTCTGATGCAGTGTTCTTGTTGTTCCAAACGGCCCTGCTACCCAATATCAAATGGTATCCAACGCCAAACGCCCTCCCAATTCCTTCTTGCGTGCAAGCACTTTACAAGGTCTGCCAGAAATAGTTGGCATAGAAAAACTTGCTGAACTTCTTGTCCATGTTGACCACATGCACATCCCCCTTGCGGTCATTCCGCACCACGGCTCTAGAGAAGACCTCTCCGCCACCGCCCTCCTTCTCGTCCCGCTCAATCTCAATGCCGAGGCCGCGGTACACGCTCAGTCGCAGCAACACCTCGTCCTCCAGGGGGTCGCGCGCGCGCCTCCTGCGCGCCTCCTCGTCCGCGGCGCCGTCGACGCCCTGAACCTCGAGCTCCTGTAGACGCGCGGCGAGGTCGGCGGCCTGGGCGGCGAGGCGCTCTGCTTCGACCTCGGCGTCTGAGGCGGCCTTCGCGGTGCGGAACTTTTGCGTGTCGAGGGATGCGATTTCGGAGGCGTGGGCCGCAGAGGAGTGCGAGGCTGTCAGGTCGTTGTGTTGGGAGGTCATGGTGTTGAGGGTGCGGGAGAGCTCTGGCGTGCCGTGTCAGTTTCGCGTTCGTAATAGGGGGAGAGGGGGTAGATGGGGACGACGCACTTTTGAGGGCATTTTCGGCTTCGCGGGCGCGCAGGTCGCGGGCCTGTTGGAGGGTGGAGAGGGACTCATTGATGCGGGCGCATGCTTGTTTATCAGGCTGGATGTGAAAGTTGTCAATGGTGTGGTGGAGAAGCGTTGCGGGGTCCTCGGCGAGAAGCTTTTTCGCGGTCGACGTGTGGTGAACGCCTGAGAGCGTTGAGGGCTGTGTCGGTCTCGATGAAGGGCAAGGTCGATGCACTCACGATAATAGGGTGAGGATGTCACGGTCGCGCTCGGGGGGTGTTTATGTGAGAGTGCATGCACCGTCCCGCTGTCCCAATATGGTAGGTTCTAAATAAAGCTATATCACCGGGACGACGTGGGGGGGGGGGGTTCTTATCGCGTGGCTAATCATTTCTTCGTAGGCCGCCTGCTCGTCGTCATTGTGGCGTGGCCCCCATGTCTACATCCAGCTTCAGCCACGTTTGCTCTCGCCGCGGCATCTTTGCATCGCCAACTTCCTGTTTGCCAGACTGACTTTGCTTGTCCTCCTAACGATTGCTCTCTCTCACACCTCGCTGAGAACATAAATACCCTGAAAACTTTGACATCCAACCTCGGACCTCTTGGAAAGCCCTCAAAATGGTCTCCGAGCTACCCTGTAGGTGCCCTCGCCCCATCACATGCAACGTCCCACTGACCAGTTCGTAGATGCCCTCGATGCCGAGTCGTGAGTCCGAAGCGATATCTCCCTTCTAAGATCAGTCTAACAACAAGCAGGCCTCTCAAGGCATCCGAGCTTCAGGTTCTCCGCGCCCAGTACGAGAAAGAAGGCGACATGGTCGGAGTGCAGACCAAATTCAACTACGCCTGGGTATGGCTGTCTTCCTCAGGCCGCACGCACTTCCAGATCATAGTCACTGACCACACGCAGGGCCTGGTGAAATCCGACTCCCGCAACGACCAGCAACTCGGCGTGCGCCTCCTCTCCGAAATCTTCCGCGTGTCCCCCGAGCGCCGCCGCGAGTGCCTTTACTACCTGGCTCTGGGCAACTACAAGCTCGGCAACTATGGCGAGGCGAGACGATACAACGATCTTCTCCTGGAGAAGGAGCCGGCGAATCTGCAGGCGTCCAACCTGCGGCAGCTGGTGGACGACAAGGTAGCCAAGGAGGGCCTAATGGGCGTGGCGATCGTCAGTGGTGTCGCTGTGGCGGCAGGTGTAGTGGGGGCCTTCTTGATGCGGAATGTGCGCAAGAGGTAGAGCGGCTTGAAAAGTATCGCTGCTGTTTGGTTCTGTGGTTTGGAGAGGGGGCAAAGTCATCGTGTACGATGAAAGGGACTGTGGGTGTATATAACCACCCGGAGGATGCTGGGTCATGGCGGCGCAATCTGTATTTCTAAGAGACTGTAGGAGGTGGATACAACAACGCTCAAGCTTACATTACCACGTCCCTCTCCCTGCAACATCTCGTTGATCTGCCTATCACCTCTCACGCAGCGATCTATGGCCCGAAAGTTTTGGGCAACTGAAGACAGTAAATGTGCATCGAAGAGCAGAGGGATACAACGAGTACAAATTGGAACGGACGTAAACATTTGCCCGATCCTTTAAATGTTTGCGAAGGGCACTCCAGTCATCGGATGTATTAAAGCGATTTTGAAGACTCGATGAGGTGTCCAAGGCCTTGCACTGACACAGCGCGCGCTGATGTTGATGACGATCACCCCCCTATGCCGATGAACACTCCTATGGGCGACTGCCTGTTGCCTAGAGTGGAAGATAAAGATGCGAGCCCTTGTCTCAGCAAGGCCAGGGAGCGAGGCCGTATTCAAAGATGCTGCTGGAAAAAACGCTAAGTGGTTTCCGAACAGCATCTCTGTGCCTGAGGGTCCATGGTGAATCGTGTGGAATGCCACAGACATGGTCGAAGCTAGCGGTGCCCCACCAGAGAAGCAGGTGCCCAGCGTCCAGGACCTGACCCCAACGTCACTTGCTCAACCTGCTCCACTCGACGGCTCTGCCACATCATATTGCACCAGGGTACAACGCGAGCGCCCACGAGCTCCTACGGTCGCCGGTACCATCGGCGATTGTTCATCGAACACACCCTCCGTCTTCCTACAACATCCTGCGGCGCATGCCACCTACGAGGCCTATCCCTCATCTGCCGACCGTTTCGTTCAACGAGTATTGTGTCAGGCTTGTCTATCACCTGCTCCAACACTGAGTTCGCCGTGGTTGCCTGCCTTGGGTAACTATCTACCTGATCAACCTCAAGTTGGATGATTCACCAATCCGGGTACGTGGAACATCAGTCGCTTTCGCCAATGCCCTCCTTGTCTCTACGGGACAACGAGGGCGGCCAGGGTGCTATTACGAGATCTCTTAATAGGAACCACTTTGCCAAATAGTCTTGTCTGATGCTGTCTCGCTTCTGGGTACTGACATTCAGCCAGATATCCCCCACGGCTCAATTTACATTCCATGCACCAGTGACAGCACACAGCCTCGTCATTTGGCTTGCTGACGACCAAAGCCCGCAAATCGATTAGTCCAGGCGCCCTCCGACCTAGTCATACCTTCACCGAGCTAGCACAAGCCAGTCCTCTGTTTCAGCGTCAGACTTCCAGCCAATTCGTCTTCACGAACTCTTTACCCCGCCGCCAAATATCTGCTCGATCCAACCTTCACGGTCCCCCTGTGTATGAAGTCAGACCCTTTCCGACACATACGCTCGATACGCCTTCGAGCTTCATCAGTCTGGCGTTCCGAGCGCTTCGAACTGCTGGCCTTCTTGCCGGCCTTGGTCTGACAGCTCTCGCTGCCTACCAGCGCAATCAAGAAGAGGCCAACATGAACTTCCAAGATGGGAGTAGGGCTCGGGGCGATAGAGAAGCCGGCCTGAATCGCGAAGTCGTCTACTGCCATGCGTGCGAACACGAATGGGAAAAGGATACGCTTCATGGACTCGTGTGCCCGCGGTGCGAAAGCGAAGCAACAGAAATCGTTTGTTCGCCCCAACACAGCGTCGGGTGACCATATATGTTGACAAACTCCATAGATTTCCCAAGAGAACGATCCTCGCGACTTCCACGATGCCCCATCGCCTCTCTCCTCCGGCGACGGTCCCCGTGGGCCCCGCAGGGCAGACTCCGACTCCGACCCCGACGAAGCTGATATTGAGGAACACTTACACCAAGGCCCCCATGGATTCAATGTACATCGATCCACATGGGGTCATCCTCACGGAGATGAACAAGGTGGGCGCCAGCCGCCTGATCCCGCCAATGGGGACCAGGTGATAGGCCGCTTCCTCGAGCTCCTGAGCACATTTGGAAACGGGGCACAAGGCGGGCCAGACTCTGACCATGACCATCCGCAAAGGCATCCCCAACCATTTGGCAGCAGTCCGTTTGGCGGTTCTGGAAATGTGCGGACGTTTACTACTAGGCGAGGCAACGGTTTCACAAGCTTCACAATCGCTACCGGACCGATCCATGTCCAAGGCGGTGGTCGGGCTCGAGCTTTTGGACGTCCTTCCGAAGAGCAGGGGCAGGGGCAGGGCAATGATGATTTTCAGTCGTAAGTCCAGCTTTCCCAAGATTGACATCGTGAGCTCATTACGAGATGATGCGGAACATTGGCCTGATGGTGAATCCAGAGTTTTCAGCAACATTCTCACGGGCGCCGGTCCACCACAACAGCCGCACGGTGAAGACATGCCTGGACAAGGCTCACGGCCCCGCGCCGCTGGTACCCAGAACCTTGCTGCGAGTCTGCATCAGATCTTGAACATGCTGGCACCAGGAAATGGTCAATTTGGTGATGCGGTCTACACACAAGAAGCTCTCGACCGGATCATTTCCAACATGATGGAGACGAACCCGCAGTCAAACGCCGCGCCGCCAGCCTCTGAGGACGCCATCGGCAAATTGCAACGCAAGGCAGTGGATGACGACATGCTGGGCCCCGAAGGCACGGCCGAGTGTACCATTTGCATCGATGAGCTGAAGAAGGGCGAGGAAGTGGTATACTTACCTTGCAAGCACTGGTTCCACGACACGTGCGTTGTGATGTGGCTCAAGGAGCACAACACTTGTCCCATTTGTCGAACACCGATCGAGGAGAGGACCGAAAGTGCGAGCGATGGTCAGCAAGGTGATGGAGGGGAAGGGAGCGGCAGACCGGCACCCGGACCATCGAATTCAGCGCCACCCGGTGGTGGACAACCTCCCCCGTTTTTCGGATTCGGCATGCCAAGTCCCCACGGTGATGGCGCTCCTCCCCCCAACAGCACAG